GCTGATATAGATTGTGCTACACATTTAGGGAGAGGGCTGGAGGAGACTTTGTGAGTTAATGGCAGAGATACGGTACAAGTATGATTTGAACTTGGGAACTTGGGGTTTCCTGACTGGTAATATGATCCATAATCCAATCAGCTGGCTTTAGACAAAGTAGGTAATTACTTGGGGAAGTAAATCCGCATCTCCATAAATCATTCTGATATTGTTTATACTGCTACCTGTATACACCTACCTAGGAGTAAGGCTTATTGTCTACAATATCTTTTGAATGTAATCATTTTGTTTTGAAGGAAGTGGTGTCACCTTTTTTTCCCTCTCTCTCTCTTTTGCAGATTTTTCTCATCTCAGATTATTTTTATGCCTTCCTGCAGAGGGAATACTACCTTACTCATGGAATCCACTTAATAAGAAAAGATAGGACAGACCCTGTATTGGTTCTCAAATAATCCTGGCATTTGACATGACTTGAGGAATAGACATTTATGAAAAACAGATGATACTTGGGTGGGGGCCTGATTTTTGGAAGATATTATTTTGCATATGGAGAATGGTCTGACATTTGGGAATACTCTAATCCTGGTACTAAGAGCTTGTGATCAAGATGGAAGAGTCTACATTTGTATCCTGTATCCCTATTTAAGGCTGTTTCCTCCAGCCATAATGTTGCTGTGAACCCCAGTCAACAGTCCCTGGGATTCATCAGGTAAAATGCATTGGGATTGACAACCAAGGTGAGCTTTTGCACCTAGAAGCAAGGCAGTAGCTGTTGATGATGATTATAATTTCTGGGAACACTGTTGAGAGCTTACTTTTTCCAGGAAACAAATAATATGCATTTGTTTGGTTCTTGCAGCTTTGCTTCCTTTGTTCTAATTGTTCATTTACCTGCCTAAATTTACAGCGGTCTTTCGGGAATGGGCAGATACATGGATCTTCTTGTGCTAATACTAGAAGCTGGAAGGCCTGATACAAGGCAACATGATGCTTTAGAAAAATGGTTGATTTAGTACTAGTCTGAATCAGTCAGTCAGACATGGAGAGTTAAATTCCAGATTTTAAAAGACAGTGGTCATGAAGGTCAGGATTAGGGTTGGGTCATGAGGTGGATAGAATTTGCTCACCTTCCTTTAAGAGAAAATAGTGCCTCTCCCTGTGGAGATGCCACTGTGTCATTTGGATATGGTTTTAAGGAGGAGAGGTTAACATCGTGTGATATAGGAAACCTTCCCCCCTCCCTTCTCCCGTGGAATGCACATGGGCCTACATGGTCATGGGTGGGCTGTGTAGTCCATTTTTTAAGAGGTGCATGAAATAATTCCTCTGTCTTTCCTACCATCATTCAATTTTGGGAGCATAATATGTATTTTCATTTTTCTGATTTTGTGGCAAAAATCAGAAAGCACAAACGTTTTAACTTCTCTCCAAATCAGAGCAATGTATTTCCATATGATGCTAAGCCTTTACAGTACTCATACCATTATAAATTGCATCCAAAGTGTTATTCCTTGATAAGAGAAGCAATCAAATGTGATGGTGTTAGAAAAAGGCTGTGCAAAGATGCTGGTCCCTTCCATCTATCTTCAGTGTTGTCTGGGCAGATTTCTTCTCTGCGATATATATATATGTGTGTGTATATATGGTACTTGCTGCTATTTTAAACTTTTCTAACTTAACATAGCCATACCTGATTTCTTTCTCTGTTATTTTACCAACAATATGTTTTTCTGACAGGAAAGCTAAGCAAGATTTAACCAAGTTCCCAGTTCCCAGAAAAAGCCTACACACTCCACTTTTTTTACCTATGAGCAGAAGAGATAAGATTGGGAGGCACTGAATTTAGATTTAAATATGCCATCTGTTATTTTTTGCAAAGCCACTCAGCAGGTCATACATACTCTTTTCTTTTACAATGTATTTCTTACTAAGTGCTCTTTCAAACGGAATTAAAAATAAAGAAAAATCTTGCCTTATTGAACTATAGAGTGTATTATATGTAGAAGGCTGCTGTTGTATCTAGGAGGCTAGGCCGCTTTTACATTGCAGGGACTCTACCAACATACAATTCTGTCATAGTATGAAGATATTTGTTACTGAAACTGAATCCAGAGACTTATAAGAGGTAGAGTTGCTTTCATGAGAAAGTATTGCAGAGTTTATTTCTAGCACTATTCTGTGTATGACATGCAAAAAAGGCAGAGTAGGGTCACAGCAGGAAATCGCATATTCAGCGTGCAAGCATTTGTTGTATTATCAGTTATGTTTGGATTTGTTTTATTTTATTTTATATAATTATTATATTACCAAAATTGCCCAATCCCAAGACTGTGAGCAGTGTCCATGTATATAAAACAAAGACATCCCAGCTGCCTCAATTAATTGATACAATCAATTAATACAATTAAAACCCAATTATAATAATACATTCATTGTATGTACATTCATATACTGGAACAGCTTCTGTTTGAGCATTATAAAGTCTGAAGTTCTGTTCATCATCATCAAATCAGAATTGTTTCTCATTTCATCCAAATTGATATCTTCTTGTTGAGAGATACAATCTGATGAAAGTTCCAACAAATCCTGATACGATAATAACTTAGTAATAAGAAATGAAATGGATACATTGCTAGAGAGTTTGCTGTTGCTTTCTCTCCCATTGAGGTGTCTTCCTTTGGCAGCTTATGTCAAATTCAAGGCTATTGCAAGGGGGTGACTTGTGTTGATAAGGAGAAAAGCTTTTTAGTGTGTGACCTTACATAGGTATGAGAAAGACAGGAGCTCTGTGCTGTTTCCAACTGACACAATCTCTTATCTTGGCTAACTTACTTTAGAACTCTGCCTTTGTCATATTTAGTCTTTAAGAACCAAGAACCATTTGGTTTCCTACTTTGGAGACAATATGGAAATAATATCAATGGACTATATTATATAAATAAAACTCACATTGGTATTGGTTAGGCCAATTTAAGATTTACAAAATAGTATGAAAGCTTTTGAATTTTTATTAAGCAAGATAATTAAAATGGCCAGGGAGCAAATTAGCCTTGCACATTTATTTTTTTAAATCTGTGTTGACCTAATAAACAATTGCCTGGATATGGATTTTTGTTGGTTGGTTAGTTTTTCTCATGACCAGTGCAACTACTTTTCATGTTAGTATGTATCTAATCCACTCTTTAAATCAGTGGACATTAACTATAAGATAGTGGAGAGAATAGGAGATAATTACTGGTATATATGCAGGGTCTGCTCTAGACATTTTGGTGCCCTAGGCAAAGTCATATTTTGGCACCCCCTATGGTTTGGCTCAACTTTTGATTTTGTTAGGAATTTCAAAAATGCGCCCTCTTGTTTCTTTTTCTCTTTGAATTTTGAGCTTTATGTTTATGATTTTCAGCCCTGGACAGTTTTTTCCCCCCTTTTCTGGGACATTTTCACCCTATTTACACTGCAAAATTATATTTAACCCTGGCTCGTGGAGTATGCCATTACTACTTTGTGCTTTTTTATTGTGTTTTTTGGAAGTCTTTTAAATTTTGGCGCCCCCTAAAATTTGGGGCCCCTAGGCCGGTGCCTACTTGGCCTTAGCCTAGAGCCAGCCCGGTACATATGTAGCTTTCAAAAATTTTAAAGTGCCAGGTATATGCTAACTATTACATAGTTACGGTGTCTGCTTATTTAAATCTACTCATGCACATTATGAATGTGACATCCCTGAAAATTAAATCTCAAAAAGCAAACTTGCCATAAGGAGACAGATATACGCCAACCAAACATACTGTGGGGCTTTTCCTAGCAAAAGGTATGGCAGTGGGGGAGATTTCAGGCTGATGACAACTTGAAGGAGGAAAAAACAAAAGGCTTGAGACTGACAGAACATTGTAAAAGGATTATAGAAGAAAAAAAACCTAAGATTTTCAAAGCCAAGGATTGCCCAAGCTTTAATGCATGTAATGAAGAGTGGAAGATGAAGAATAACCTGAGAATAGAACTGGAGAAAAGCAAGTGTCCGGCCTGAGAAGCCAAGCAGGGTCAGGGGCCTCATTACTGCTTTGGGGGCGATGTCTAGGAATACCAAATCTTACATTAGATTGGAAAATAGGAAAAAACATTCTGGAAGAAGGCAATACAAACTACTCCCCTGTGGTTGCCAAGAAAACTGCATGAATGTATCTGAAGCCACCGGGAGTTATGCTTGATCTGAAGGAGACTTGACTTTTCCTTTTTAGGTTAAGGAGGGAGCAGAGGAAAATTACTAGGGATAAAGGAAACAATCAAGACAGGTTTGTATATATAGTTGTGGAAATGAAAAACAAACTGAATTGGCCTGTGGGTTAAACAGAAGAAATAGATGCTAAAAAGCAAAGAAATGCTACTCTTTGATTGGTTGAGTGGTGAACATGATATTTTCTTGGATGAAAGAACCTTCCACATTTCTAGAACTTGTGAATTTCTTTAATTAAAACCAAGGTTTTACTTCAGGATGGTTCCTCAGAATTGGAAAATGATTTTAAAGTGGCATGCAGGAGGATATTTCCTCCCTTTGTGTTGAGGAATAGGGGAGGAAGAAGATAATTCTTTTGCACCACATGGGTATGCATTAGATGGAAGTATCTGAGATGACCAGTATCAGTAGGATCTAATTTGAAAATGCTTCTCCACATGCTGGGAACACAAAATCTCAAGACACTTGGGGTGTGCCTCCTTCAAAGAATATCACAATTCTCTGTTTTCCTTACATACTTTCACTGAGCTAAAGAAAAGTAGAGACAGACTGTATTGGAGTAGGATGGGAGAACATTGTGACAAGACTGGGATGAATTGGCAGCCAGTGGAAGTAGTGTCTAAGGAGAATGGTAATAAAGCAACCCTGTGGTTTCCTGGCCCCATGATCACATTTCTCATGACACTGACACCAGGGCAGGGGATCATTTGGCCCTCCAGATATTTTTGGTCTACAAAATTTTGGTCAGCAGCACCAGTCAGCATAGTTAATAGTGAAGATGGAAAATGTGGATTAGCAACATCTGGAGGGACACGTTTTTTTCATCCTGGAACTATACAGTGACCATTAAATTAGATGGAATTAAAGGGAAATTACACATTCGTGGGAATATGGGTCTTTCAGTAGCAATTTACCATGATAGTTTCAGAGAATCTTTATAACCATGGGCAGTAGCCATCCTAATGTGTTACTGAAGTTAATCAGTGTGTTGTGCAAGGGAAGCTGCTTGTGGTCCTTCTGAAGACCAGACCTCATTACTTTCTTGAAGGGTAGGATTGACGTTTTTTCTATGCATGAAGGTTTTCTGTGTAATGTAGAATACTTCTTTTCCTGGTTTCTTTCTGGTGCAGAGACCCTCTAGGCTGGGCTATGCAGAGCTTAATGTGCTCATTCTCACTGTCTCCATAGCACCATAGGATCTATACTGTTTGTAACAGCTGAAGTATATTATGGCTCAGCTGCAGGAAGTTGTATCCAGAGAATGTGTTTTCTCTTTATGGGATTCCTGGAGGCAACTACTTGACCCTTGTAAGAAGTGGGAAGCTGGACTCGGTGGATATTTGTAATGAACCAACAAAGCTAGGGATTTATTTTTTTTTTTAACAATTTAAGGCCAGAGACTAGTCAGACCTCTTGTTGCCACAATGCATACCAATGGCATTAATAAGAGTACACTGTGGCTGGGTACAGACAATAGGGTTAATAATTAAAAACTTAGAAACTCTATACGTACCACATGCCTATAGCCAAGTTAACTTTGGTTTTAATCATGAGCTCCCTCCCTACCATGGCTGTTATATATTTGTATTGTGAGCTCAAGTTGTAAGAAGGAGGAGAAGATAATGGTGTTATAAGAGTTTCCTATTGCTACTAGTAGTAGCTACTAAAGCAAAGCAGTGATAGGTAAACCTAGGTGTGTTCTGGAGCAGGTTGTGAGAGGTGATCAAGAGAAGAGACAGACCCACTGTATCTAGTTCTGATCAAATGTAACCTTGAGCTATCCCTTTTCGTAAGGGAATGTCCAGGACATTGTAGCCCAACCAAACATAATGGATGTCTTCCATAGTTCTAAGGCATCTTTTATTTATGGAAATAATTAATTTCTGCAGTAGGTATGAAATAAACTTAAAGCTTTAGTGTTATCAAATGCATTTTGCTTGACAAAATAGTTGCCTTGTCTGAAGTCTAAGCTTTTGGTGGCACAGAAAGTAATATGCTGGCAAGATTCTCTTGGACTACCAAACAAAACTCACTTGACTCTCTGTGGAATGGCTTTTCCACTCAACGACATTTTCTCTGCTTTGTGTCCTCTTTGTGAACTGGAAAAGAAATGCTGATTTTATATGCTGTGAGCAACTCCAACCCAATTCCATCTTGAGTTAGTCATCGCCTTAGATGAATTAGATTGTTTATGAGAAAGATGAATTGAGTGAGAAGGGGGAAAATATGCACAGAGGGCTGCATATTTTTGTACATTTATTGAACAAAGGACACAAAGTATGGGTTGTGTGCATATGTAGTGGTTAGTTGCATATTCCTAGATCATTTTTACTTAAGACTTACAAAATCTATTCAGCTAAATGTAATCATTTTTTATCTAGCTGTGTCCTAACCATAATATTTTCCCATCCCCACTGTTGTAAATCCTTATCTGGGCTGGCATGCAGAATCCCTGTAACTTCAGTATTCTGACACTGTGTAGTTGCTGTGGCATCACTGATTTTGTTTTTCATGTGACTGAAAGACATCCAGAGGTTCCATTTGCAGACTGCCTTGCATGTAAGCTGATCACTGGCTAGGCATGACTGGGAAAATGAAAATAGAAGGGCACCACTTAACTCACAAATAAGGAACAGAATTATTGAGCAGCATTCTTTCTTGACTGTAGAGAACGGAATTCACATGCAGGGCAGTGTCTGGTATATAGCCCCACTGTCTAGAATCAGATTGAGATATATGTTCTAGGTCAAGCTTCTGCCTGGTGCTCTCAAAATGGCTCTCAAAATCACCATCTCACACAAGGGCACCAGATTGGGGAAAGCTGGAGTACACAACACTAACTGACTCAAAGGTTGGCCAATCATTGAACAGTCTACTATTCGGTCACCAATTGACTCTCATCTCAGTAACCAAGTCATCCCCACCTAACTTTCTGAAGCATTTGTTGTTGTTGTTGTTCCTGGAAGTACAGGTAGTCCTCGATTACAACGATTTCTGAATCCCACAGTTGTTAGGCGAGGCAACTTCCTGCTGGCTTCCCACAATCAAAGTCAGCGGGGAAGCTGGCAGGAAATTTAAAGTCCTAGGCCTGCAGACAGGTAAGTGGCTGCTGCCGGGTGGGGGAGGGAATGACGAGGGGAGGGTACGTGAGGGTACAAGAGGCGTGGTGCGGGTGTGAGGGGGGTGCAAGGCACCATGCAGGTCAGAGAGGATGCAAGGGTGTGTGTGAGAGGCTGGCACAGGTGAGTGCAGAGGGGCTGGGGGAGGGTCCACAGGTGGGGGAGACTTACCCAAGTGACTTGCGACCTTCCCTCCCAGCTTCCCTATTGACTTTCTGGGAGAGCCAGCAGGGAAGGTTGCAAATTGGGATCACATGATTGTGGGGTGCTTGGCAACTGGTCGTAAGTACAAATGGGTTGCCAAACAATCAGATCACTATCACATGACCGCAAGGGTGCTGGGACAGCTGGAACTCTGAGGACCGATTGTAACCACCATTCATTCAGTGCCGTCATAACTTGGAACAGTCACTGACTGAATGGTCGTACGTTGAGGATTACCTGTATGTTGAACCAAGCCGTGTACTCAAGTGCATGAAAAAACATCAGTAGAATATGGACAGTCTATCTGCATCACAGCAGTAAAATCAAAGTGGTAAGAAAACCTGATAAAGGGACCTCATTTTTTTCAAGGCCAGCCCCTTAACTTCAGATATATGCTAAGGTGATGAGTTCAGGGCGGGAAAACTAGTTTACATCAGAAGAGAATTTTAATTTATCTTTATTTATATAGATAATTATATAGATTTGACTGGGCAGATCTTTTTCTTCTGTCATACACACTTTTTGGTATCATAGTTTTTTTTTATAAAATAACCAGGTAAAGTAGCAATATAAATCAGTACATTCCTTGAGCCAAATGGCCTGTTTGCCACAATGGGATTAAAAATAGAAAAAAATATCCATGCATGCATTAGAGCAAAAAAGGAAGAGAGACTGGTTTTTAAAAAAAAAAC